TCCCAATGTTGCTCGCAGGGTCACTGGCAGGAACATCTTGAGAAGAATGCAGCATAATCAAAGGATCTGTGCGCAATCAGGCGGTGCTGGCAAGAAAGCGCTGGACGGCAGCAATACTGGTGAAGTCCGCAGTCCATCTGATGGCGAATCGGACCGACACGCCTTCCCGCTTGACTTGGACGCGAAGCAGGAAAAGCAAGTCGCCAAGAGCGAGATCGACATGGTGGTGCGCACGCTCTGCAAATATGGGCAGACGTGGCCCGTCGGCAGTGAGTTTCTGGAGCTTGACAATCATCGCGCTATAGCGAAGGCGGTGCCGACTCACATCTGCACTCGTGACTCTCAGTCCGTCAAGCTCAGGCGTTGACCCGCCAGATGGGCGTACCGCTCGATATAGACCAGCTCATCTACGAACAGGAAGCTCCAAGCAGTCACCAGTCACACTTTCAGCAACCGCCTAACATGCATTTGCACCAGCACAGCCACCACTCGCCAGGCGTGACCCAACAGCAACATTTCAAGCCCCCTGAGTTTGCGCAAAACTCCTTCCTCTCCCAGCCTCAGCACGGTTCTCGCATGCACTAGACTCTCTTAATTTGCATGCAGTCTGTTTCAGAAAAGCTAAACGGAATGCTCGATCGCCTTGAGGATTCTGACTGTCTAAGTTTGTATAGACTTCGTTTCGTGTCATCTGCAATATGTGTTGCAGGCCGAAGCCAGCACACGAGACTCAACGCTCAAAGTCTCGCGTATGCTTGATTCGTCAATTCGAATTGATGATTTCAATGCAGATTCCGAAAGCCTCTGAAAGTAAATCACTCGATACGAAAATCAACAGTAGCGATGCGCTGGACACGTAATTCTGAACGACCTCGAATCTTTAATGCACATCGACAAATGCGAGGCTTCACCTGGAATTCCGCTTACAGCGATCAAAACTCACAAGACTCTCATTTTCTATTCGGCGCGCAAAATCGCTGTCGCGCGACGGCCTGGGGGGGGAGTCACGAGTATAGGTCTTCATGCATGCATCTATAGCATCAGGCGCGCTTCGACGTGAAACAAAGCTCCGCGAGCTTCGCAGCTAGGTGGAGCGCGTCACGCATCGCATTTCGAGGTGACGGCGCTCAGACCTCTTGCTACACCATCACCATTCCTGACTTGCCCTGAAACACCTGACCGAGGCGGATCGCTCCGACCAAATCTCAGACCACTGGTCATGTACGCCGGCGCTGCCGCCTCAGATGGCTCGGCTGCAGCCTCCGGGAATGGACCAGGT